TTATTCAGAAATTTTGATGTAAATAAAATGAATAACATTTGGAAAGCCAATATATATCCTAATGGTAATTTGCTGATAATAATTTTTATGTAAGTAGTTCTGATCTGATCTTATATCTTTGTATTTTAACTGAATCAAGGAAATCTGTAAATACCCAAATAAGATTAATTCTTATAAAATGCAAGTTATTTTTATGCAGAAATCTAGGAAAGAAATCTTACAGATTTTCTTCTGTCTATATTTCAACAAGAATATGAAATCAGATGATTCAAATTGTTAGACATAGTTAGAAAATGAGGATACTGGTGTTTGAAAAAGAGAAGAATGTATATAAAGCATAATGGAAGGTTATATTCTTGAAACCTGAGAGGCAAAAAAGACAATGTAGAAAAGATAACCAATGTCTTAGAATGGAAGGGATAAAGGTTGCTGTGAAGCAGGCTGTGGGTATGTGCTTTGATAAGGCATTATTGTGAGGGGAGCTAATAATACATCATTTTGGATTTTGTGGAGAAGGTGTAAATATTTGCTCAGAAATGACATTTTTCTTTCTCAGTCATTTCAGTCACTGTTAGGGTTGCCAGATAAATTACAAGATGTTTAGTTATAGTCATTTCAGATAAACAATATATATTATAAGTATGTCCCAAATGTTACATGGGGCATACTTACAAAAATTATTTTTATTGTCTATTTGAATTTTAACTTGGTATTCTGTATTTTTATTTGCTAAATCTGACAGTCCTAGTCACTGTGTATTGCTGAGAACACAGCAGGACTTAGCACCTAAGAATTATGAGGAATGGTATGAGCCATTAGGAAAAAGGACCAGATGCAGAAGAAGGTGTTTTTGGATATATATATATATGAATTTCAATTTTTGAGAAGGGAAATCCTGACTTTGTCATGATCAGATGATGGCATAAGGAAATCAATAGTGAAAGTTTCAATGTTACTAATTTTAAGTGTATAATAATTGGGAAGGAATTTGGTTTGGAGATTGGAATTTGGAGAAGGAATTTGGCAGGGAAGTCATAGTGAAAGGTATGGAAGGAATTCATCAAAGTGAGAATAGCAGGGAATGGCAGCTGCTTTGCAGGCAGCAGAGAGCAAGAAAGAACAGAGGCAGGAAAGTGAAACTCATTGACCTCCTGCTTGGCATAGGGCAAATTCCTTGCAACTTCTAAAGCCAGGGTCACCTGGCGTCCAGTGTTCTCTTGAGTCTGCATGGAATGGGAACTAAGTCCCTACCACCCCAGGATTTGGGGGAGCCACAGAACACTGGACAGAGTGAGATGATGTTCTGACAACTTCCCAAAGGCAGCTGGCAGGCTACTAGAGAGCACGATTGTATAGCTGCCGTCCTGTCCAGGTCACCCAAGCAACTGGAACTTGCAAACCCAAATCAAAGCTCTCTGTTGTCTCTCCCTATTTATCTGGAGTAGAACAGAGACAGAGGGGAGACTTGTGCTTAAGTCAGGAGAATAAGAATGAAATAGCAAAGTGACAAAGAATCATACCACTGGAAGAGCACAGAGACAAAACATAAGTTGAACAATAACAAGTCTGTTTAAGGTAAAAATAAACACTTGAAGAAAGGAAGTGTGGGCAATCTCAGAGAGGGGGCACCCTTAAGGGTTTAGGGTTTGGGGTTTTATAGGGCCTTTGGGTAGGGGTCAGCATAAGGCATAATGTATGCAGGTGATTTATAATTCCTTTGAAGTTTTGTCTTAATAGGGTTATTTAGGTGACTGTGTTGGTTCAGGTCTTAGCATTCTTTATTCACATAGGTTCATGTACACTTTGGAGGTCTATCTCCTGTTCTGGTTCCAGTTACTTAATTGATTAAGGGGCTGGAAGAAGAGGAAGAACAGCATATAGATTAAGTTAAAGAATAAGCTGAGCCTTTTTCTCAGACTAAGCAGATTTTACAATGGCATGACTCTGTCCCATCTCCCTGCCCTACCTCATTGGACAGGGCAGAGAAGTCCTTGACTGGTGATCCTTGGCTTCGGAGGCCTGGTCTACTTGGTACAATGAAGTCTGATGCTTTTCTTTATCTGGGGGATTGTTTTTCATCTGGGTAATATCCAGACATTCCAAATCACTCCTGGACTTTGAAAGCTCAACGAAATAACTAGCTCTGTGAGCCATCTAGCTCTCTGGTTTTATTTGGTTAACCCTTTGAGTTCCTTTTAGTGGGCGTTATTCTCTTTCCACCCTGCTCACATCTGTCTTTCTGCCTAACAATATGTCACTGATGTTGTCTTTGTATAATGTGTTACTGATTTTTGTTTTAGCAATCAAAACCAATATTAAGCCCTTCCGTAGGTCTATTCCTTTAATTCTATTTCCCCTGGAAATCTTAAATACCCCCAGGTTTCATTCTTTTCACCTAGTAGTTTTTGGGAAGATGCTCTTTAAAGTTTGAAAGAAACAACTGGATAGTGTTAATTGGGTCAACCTGTGCATGGGCCTTTATGTTTACGCTGATAGGAAATGGGCAAATTAACATATTAATGAAGACATCACACTCCTTTTTGTTGTTGGGGCAAAGGCATTCCAATTTTAGATGTTTTTTATCTGAGCAAAACTGTATTGTACATTTTGTGTAAAATCTGGCAAGTGCAGCTATTGCCTGAGGGGTGATTTACTCAAAATGGAATGGCAGATGGTACTTCATGATGTACTGCTGTAATCTAAAATATTTTGCATCATCCTCATCATCATCCTCATCACCATTATCATACTTTTAAACTTGTCTGGACTTGCCTGATCAAGAGGTATTGCTCATAGTATTTTCTCATCGGGGATACCATCTTCACCTGATTTTACCAGCCTGAATTCAACTCATCTTTTAATGATCATTTTAAGTGCTCCATGGACACTTTGTCATTCCTCAAGTCTGCAGAATCATTTCCTACTGATTCCTTCCACCATAATCACAGAATGTTAGAGCTGCAAAATACCATTTGAAGTGTATTCCCTTATTTTAAATGCGGAGGAATTGGTGACCAGAGAGGTTAATGAAGTAGTCAAGATTAATAACCAGTTAGAGGAAGAAGGGAAGAAGTAGGATTTAAACAAAAAAATGTTATTTAAGCTTACAGCTCTTTCCACTCTTTCATATTCTCTTCATCTTAATACAAACTACTCATTTGGATTTATATTTATAAACTTGTAAACCTAGAAAGGAAGTGGTACTCAACCTTACATTATTCAATTTAGTTTGTATTTCTGTTATTTATTTAACCAACTAGAATTAAGTTTTTTACCACTATTGTGTTTCAAACTCTTATGCAACTCCCAGAGCAGTATAATGAGTAGCTAGAACAGAGGTGGCAAACAAATGTATTTGCAATTGATCATAATGGTTGACTGAAAGAGTAGTTTAGGTAGGAGTTGGAAGTCTCAGGAAAGCCTCAGTTTTAATTAGAGATTCTTCCTTAACTGCATACTATGACATTGCATATTGATGGTCACAAAGAATGAATAAAGGGTAAGGTACATAATCCATTAAGTCATTAATGTGTGAAAAATAGTATCTTAGACTCAGTGTTTCACATTTAAATACGTAAAATTGTTTAATTATGTGTAAACTGAGTCTTGAATTAGTAATATGTTGAAAATATAGGTTTAGTTCAAGTTTCTCTAATGCTAAATTCCATTCTAGGTAAATAAAGATTTATTAATAATCAAAACAAGCTGTATTAATTACATCACTACTTATGTTCTGTCCCAAAATCCACTTGTAGAATGGAAGGATACGGTTTTATTACAATGTTTAAGGTCTCCTTGATTGCCAGATAGGAGCCCGATACACTCACCCTAGAGTTCCTAAAGGAAAGAAGGAAAACAAAATGAACTTTCAGAAAATATTTCTCTGAATGGTACCAAGGCAAAACCCAAATTAGAATTCCAGGGAGCTCTTCCTGCTGATAACTGGAACAATACTAATTCTTCATGATTGAGAAAAATAAAGAAACTATGTTGTATTTTAAAGCAGGCATCAATTTGTTTGAGAAAATAATAATTTTTTTTTACAGCAAGACCAAACATTATCATATGTATCATATATATTTTATCATTCATTTTATATGTATATAACTTTACCTGAAATGATAGATGGAGTGTTGATAAAATTTTTCTTCATATTTAGTAGATAGTAGGCCAAATATTATGAGTTATTTGTAATATAATTCAAAGATAATTATATAGCACAACCCCTGTAGTTCCCTTTAATGCAAAGACATCCTGGAATGTTTTTCCATTCCCAATACATAGTGTAAGCAGTGTTCAATCACAGAGCATGCCCAGTAAAAAGATAAAAGTTTAGCTCTGAATGAATCTATTGATTCTGACATATCAGATTCCAGCTGAGAAAAAATTATAAATTGGTCTGTATAATAACTAAACTGGAATTGTGTGGACTTTTATGTTGGTGCTGAGAATTTTGTTATTATTTTTTGCTTTTCAGAGTAGATCATAGACCTTCTTCAGTAGATCAGAGACAAGAGCTCAGCTCTGAAAGATAGCTTCTGACAAACAGCCAAGTTCTAAATTGTGGATTTCTTTACACTATAAGTCATCATATGGCAATTTTTAAATCAAGTTGACATTTAACAGAAAACTGAGGTAATTTTTTCTCAGAAGTCCAAAAGAGCCTGTCTCTAGTGTGTTAAAATCCTAGTATCAGCATCTTATCCTAGGCTGAGCAGAGGAGAGTTGTGTTTTCCCATAGAGATAAGCTGTCCGTTTCTGAGAGATTATGTGGAGTAACACGTGACATCAGTGTGGAGAAGAACATAGTCCTAGAAATGAATTGGGTATTTTTGACAATATTGTAGTTAATAAGGTGCAAATAACCCTAGGAGGAATAATGCATTTACTTAAACTCATTAACAATGAAATGTAAATGGTCCATAGGAGACTTTATGTTTATGCAGACATTCTCAGTTTAGTCAACAACAAATATTGAGTGAATGCTCATTCTGTTCCAGGTACTACACAAATGCTAGAGATACTGGAAAACACACGACACAAGCCCCTGTCCTCTAGGACGTCACAGTTTAAGAGGAAGGAATGACAAGTAAGTAGATAAACAGCTTTCCAAGTAATGGTGCTCTGACAGAGGTAAGCATACAGTGTTCAGGGAACACAGAGCAAGGGCATGTAGCACAGACTGGGGCAGAGAGGGAAACAGAGAAGGCTTCCTGGAGGATCTGCCTCAGGCTTACGGCCCAGTGACACTTACAATATGAATGCCCTGGAAGGAACTTGGGGAAAAACGGTAAAGAGAAGAGGAACGGGAGGCTGAGTATTTTAAAGAAATGTTGCAGAAGTTATATGTGATCAAACATATTGGCTGCCAGGGAACATGGACCTTTTCTGTCTTCTTTACTCTGCATATCCTAAATTTCAAAGAATAGCTAGCACACAGTGAATAATAAATAAATGTTTGTGGATGAATAAAATAATGAAACATTTGAGAGTACAGATATAAAGAGAGGAAGAGAAGAACTTATGGTGAAGTGTAAGGAGTACTAGACAAGCAATCAAATCCTAGAATCTGGTCCCAGCTTTACAATTATTTAGCTGTCACAGATTCTGGAGGGGCCAAATTTTGCTCATCTGTATCATGAGAAGGTCAGATGCCATAATCTCTAAGGCTGCTTGGTATCTTGAATGTATAAAATGATTATTCTTCTGTGAAAAATACTATTATATTTTTAGTGAATTATTTCTCAGTGATTTTACAGTGATTTAGTGTAAGTTTTTCAATGAGGGATGATTTTAATGTAATAACTAAAAGTTTATAATAAAAAAGGAGATAATTTGTACTTTCAACTACTTTGTAGTGAGCACACATTTTTACTGTTCCCAGGAGAGAAACATTCACTTTAATTCTTAAGAAAGCTACTATAATCTTTTAGAATAGTAAGTAATTCATTTATAAGATAACAATAACAAACTGAGAGGTATTTATTGCATCATAAAAAAAAAAGAACCTAGTTTGAAAGGCTGAGCAGGACACCCTAGATCCTGTCAGATGTGGCACACAGCAAATGAAGCTACCTGAGAACCCAGGATAGCCGTACATGGTGATAGCATGCCACCTGGCCAAAGGATCAGCTCTTAGAAACACAGGAGTCCTCTGCCTGTATTATTACCTTACTATTATAGGAAGACCCTAGAATTCATTGAGATCTACTAGAATGTCACTATTGATAGAAGTGGGCCCAGAAAGGCTAATAACAATTCTAAGATTTGACAATGGGAAGACAGAACTCACCCTGCATACCTTGTTGATGCAGCTTTGTTCTTTCATGTCACTGGATGTTGCTTTTGAGAAACACAGCAGCCTAATGCTAACCTGGTATTTGATCCTTTGTAAATCAGTTGATTTTTCTTTCTGAATACTCAAAGGATTATTTCTTTATCTTTAAATTCTAATAATTATATTTGGACATGTCCTAAAGTTCTGAAAAACGTTCTTCATAATATGGTGTACCTTTCCAATTTCAGTATTTAAAATTTTATTATTGTGTTATTTATTTTTTTTAACAGCTTTATTGTCATGTAATTTACAAACCAGGAACTTTACCACTTTAAGGTGGACAATTCAATGGCTTTTAAAAAAATTTATTTACAGAGTTCTGTAACCATTACCAAAATCTGATTTAGAAAATTTCATTATCCCAAGAAGAAACTTTATACACATTAACTGTTACTCCCATCTCCTCAACACCTGTACCACTATTCTATTCTCTCTCAAGATCTGCTATTTGGGATATTGTATATAAGTAGGATTATGCAAAATGTGGTCTTATGTGACTGTGTAGCAAGAGGAAATTTCTGAGATCTGTCTTCTTTGATTTCTCCTTATCATTTCCTATGATTTCTTTGATGCCCTTTGATCAAACAATAGCTTTCTATTTGATCTCAGTCCTTTATAAGGGGTTCCCACTTACATGAGATCATCTTCATCTACTTGCTGTTTATTTCTGAGAACTACTACTCCTAGATCCTCCGCATATCCCCATTTTGTCCTTGTGTATTGTCATACAGGCTTTGTTTTTTTTTTTGTTGGTGGTACTGTATTAGTTTCCTAGGGCTGCTATAACAAATGACCGTGAACTAGAGAGTTTAAAAACAGTAATTTACTATCTCACAGCTATGGAGACGAGAGTTCCAAAACCAAGATGTTGGCATGGCCAATGAATCTGAAGACAGATCCTTCCTTGCTATTTCTAGCTTCTGGAACTGCCACCAAGCCTTAGCATTCCTTGGTTTATGGCTGCATGAATTCAGTCTCTACCTCTGTCTCCACATGGCTGCCTTCCCTTTATATGAGTCTATAATCAAACTTCTCTCTTCTTATTGGGACATCAGTCATTAGTCTAGAGCCCATCCTAATCCAGTGTGCCCTTAACTTGATTACATCTACAAAGATCCTATTTCCAAATAAGATCACATTCACATGTTTTAGGTGGACATGAATTTTTCAGGGAAATTGCAGGAAATGTTTTCAGTAGAGCCACGTATTTCCCTGTTTCACTGAAATTTGAGGATTCCACTCTCTACAAGCTCAATGTTTATAATTTATGGGGACTCTCCCCCCACTTCATTAGTTGTGCTACAGTTTTCAGAAGGATAAATGGTAAAATGCTTAACTAACTGGTTTCCACAGACCTACCATACTCTACTCAGATTTTGACACATTCTCAGTATTATTGAATAGCTCTCCAACTACATCTATAGAGCCTCATGGGTCGAGTTAAGGTTTGATGTTCTAAATAGGAACCCTTTACATACAAAGTGGAGTTGGTTTCCTGAAGTGTTCAACTAAAAAAAAATCCTTTATGCCTTCACTACAATGTTGAACAGCATGCAAAGAAAACTACAAACTACCTTTGTTATATTGTTTTACTGAATTTCAGCATTGACGTTTCTAATGCCTTCTTAATCATCAAGAATTGGAGTATTTATTCATCTCTTGCTTTGAACTTCTCAAGTAGTTTTAAATTTATAGTATATTAAGACATGTTGAAAGAGACTATAAAGGAATGACATTACTCTCACAACAAATAATTCAGAGGATTAGTATTCCCTTGAGTTTTAGGCTTTACTAGGCAAGATCTCAAAAGAGAGGGCAAGATCATTTATTTAGAAGGAACTTAAACGTAAGGGTTTAAACATTTTATTCACATCCAACTATTGAGAATAGAGAAGCTAGACATCCAAAATGCACAGGTGAAAGAGGAATCAAAGGGTGATGCAGGTACTATCTTGTGGAATGACATCAGTATTAATAGTCTCTATGTTATTGTTTTTATGCTCTTCCTCTAGAGCACAAATAAAGAAGATTTCATGAAAGAAGTTGAAACATGTTTTTCCCTCCATGCTTCTAGTGACTTGATGTAAAAATACATATACTTTGTTAGTATAGGAGCTGTGTTTGTGATCAGTCTTATTGGGTTCCTGATCATTGGTGGAATGCCATAATTTTATTAACTCCACAACTAATTATTGAATTCCTCTTGGGAATGAGACACTCTTCTAGATGCTTGGGAAACAATTGTGAATAAGAGCAAGCAAATGCCTGCCCTCACAATACTTATAGTCTAATGAGTGAGATAGACAAGTAGCAAGTTAACAATAAGTATTAAAATATCAGGCAATGATTGATGCTTTAAAAAGAACAACACAATGAATCAGATCTGAAGATCTTATGCATAACATGGTAATTATGGTTGAAAAAACTGTATTGTATAAGAAATTTGCTATGAGAGTAGAACTTAAATGTTAACACACGTGTATATTTAATTGTATATTTGTATTTTATAGCATATATATATATGTAGTAGTGTGTTAATTAACTAAATTAACTATGTGAAAGGAATCCTTTTACAATGTATATATTATCAAATCATTATGATGTACACTTTAAATATCTTACAATTTTATGTGTCAATTATACCTCAGTAAAGCTAAAAAAAGAAGAATTTCAAAGAAGCTAGAAAAAAAAGGAAAGGGTTGTTAGGGTGCAGGCTTCCGAGGCTTCCCCAGAGAACAAACTACACAGGCATAGAGATGTAAATTCAAGCAAAGTCTTTATTCAGCCAACTAGTTGGGGTCCAAGTCAGCCCGATGCAGCGGGTCTCAACAAGGACCCCGAGCACTCAGAGCCAAGGGTTTATATAGCAATTTCAAAGCACTTAACTCATAGCAATTTTCTATAACTATACATTATTCTTGCAAGACATATATCCTGGGGTTAAGCAAGGGCAGGGTAAGACTACTCCTCAATGGTTAGGGAGGTTCTGCACGATAAGCTTGGTATGTAAGATTTACTGACCAAGGTTAGCTGACCAAGGGTCACAGCTGCCCACCACCCGGTGCTCATGATTAACTTGTTTTTCAAGGCCTTACCCAGTTCCAGTTTTTCTTTCTAAGTCACATACTCAGAAAATGGCTTCTAGGCCTTTAAGATGGCTATGCTTATGCTAACCTATTTCTATTCTTACA